GCCTTGTATCTCGGCCTTGTTTAGAAGAAGGAACTTTGATATGCGCACTGAGGTTGCATCGTTATCCAACTCACAGTATTCTCCGAAGTATCGATAAATTTTTGCAAACTCTCGCAATACCGTTATTTAAGGAACAAAAGCAAGTGTGAGAGAAAATTATGTGTTGCATCTTTGTTTTAAGACTGTAAATCAACTGAAAAATTGAGAGATCAGTAGAAAATAATATTTGTTCTCACGATGTTTAATTATATTTTTGCAAAAATTTTTCTTTAATATTGTTACTAAGTAATAGATTATGAAATATAAATTACGTAATCTTTATTATAAACAAAAACTATTAAATGATTATTTTATGATTTTAAATTATAAAATAATAAATGTATCAGTTCTTTTTTCTTTAGTTATTTATTTAACTTATTATAAGCGATTTCTGGATGTAACATTTTATTCGTAAAAGGATGGAAAAGTAATAAGCCAGGATGTCGAACCGTGCTCGGTAAAATAATGTAGAAAGCACTCCGAGCGTTCAGAATGCGCTTTATGAGGTTGCTATGGCAATGTCTTTAACAAAACTAGTATAATAACATGAAAGACATCTTTAACTTTTATGAATTAATAATATTATTTTTGTCGTCCTACTTTATAACATACTGTTGGAAATGAATCCGTTTCATTTTACTCCGTGCTTTAAAAATTTTGTAATTCTAAATTTGTATATTTCAAGCAACGTTTAATTCTCAAAAAACTGAAATATTTTGTATTTTTGGTGCATAATAAATATTAATAATTTTAAATTTTATTAAAAGAAAAATTATATAATTTAAATATCGAATGAGTAATATATTTATGTGGAATAATATTGATATACATTTATTAGTATTTTGTTCTGCCGTATCGATATATTAGATAAAAAAGACATGATAAGTTGAAGAGTAAAAGAGTTCATATAGACTATACTAAGTATAAAATAGTAAAAAAATATAGTCAGGTATGTTCGATAAAGTTTCTTGAAGGTGTTGGAACGTTAAACTTATAAAACGCATCTTTCACGTTCGAGAGGTTTATTCTACGTTCTCTACAACGTAGAATATATAATATGCTTCATCTTTTCTTTATACTTTATTACGTCTGCATCCTTCGAACATTGTCAAACAATTTTCCCAAAATCGCTTGCTTATCTTTTTTTATCTTGAAATTGTCAATACTAAGAATTTTTTAATTATATTTACTGGAATACACTGTTAACATTATACAATGACAATATTGGTTACTATATAGCTTACTGACAATAAGAGAAAATATTTGACTTATTATGATATTAAAAAAGGTTTAACGTGATTTCCAAATTGGATGAATATTTTTTAAAATAAATTATTATATTAATCAGTCATGTAAATATCTCATTTGTTTTACAAGAATTATTGTGGAAAATACAATTATTTATAATTTATGATGTTTTGACAAATGAGCACATGTCAACTGTTCAAAGTTTGTAATAACAAGAAACAAAATGTCTCGAGCGAAGTAATTTACGCAATTACCTAGACATTTGTAGACAAGTCAACAGTAACTAAGATTTAAGAATAGATATAGAATTTCAACACAGTCGCGTTCTCGCATTTCACACGTCTCGAAGCTTAAAAGTTTGTTCGCAACATTTCTTCTCTGTATGTGTTTTTGGGCAACCGAGTGAATGAAATTAAGCTCATACGTATCGATATACGACCAGACGTTTCTCTTCGCGTATTCTTAGATCGTTCTTTTACGTTATGCTCCGATGCACATGGCCCTCTTACACTCGATGGTACTAAAGTTATCTTTCGACCACGCCGCGATGCATTCAGAAAAAAAGCCTATTCTTATATTTTTGTCATGTGTAGTTAATGCATAGCATGTACAGTACAGAAGTACAATTTATAAAAGACAGACATTCATTTAATTGATTCTAATATTTTCTTTGACATTTAAGTGGTTGATAGAAAACCTCAACGAATATTGGAATGGAATTTCATTACTTTTTGTATACGAGGAATTATATAAAAATAAGGTTTTTAATACATATATATTGTTATAATTATATGTATATGTATACATATGTAAAAATAAAAAAAATGGCTTTTCAATATTTTAATTTCAAATACAAATAACATCCATTTATTTATCACGTGTTGTGGCGTATGCGTGAAAGTAATGCAGGAGATAACCAGAGAATATATAAATTAAAATAAAAAATTACAACGAAAAAACTCGTTTGATAAAGAAAAAAGTTAGAGTTACAATGGAAAAAAATTAATTTCCAGTTTATCGTTATACAGAACAATTATTTGTCAGTTATTATTGTTCGAAAGAAAGAATAATGAAAGATTAATTATTATTCTATTTATACTTTCATCTATTACAAGGAAAAGTTACATACTAATAACATTGAATGTACAATTTAGCATAAAATAATAAATAGCATCGCGTTTACTGTCATACGATTGCATCAACTGTAAATCACTTTGTGACCATTTAATAATTTTCTTTATATTTATTCTGTTGCAGATTCGGAATGCGGTGTAAGAATTACATCCTGAAATACGAAGACACGTGTCTCTAATAAGATAAGGTAAGTAGATTGGTTTCAGAATTCTTCGAAACATTTTTAAAATACAGTTTCAGAAAGTTCATCACATATTCTTTCCTCGACTACAGTTTCAATAGTTATATAGTTTAAATTCTCTTTTATTTTCCCTGCTATCATGTTACCATGCTATCAATTTTTAAACACACGCTTATTAAAACAAAAAACTGTATATTTTATTCAAATATTTGAAATAATTTTTAAGTTTATTTTCCTTCAACAAGAACATATTAAGGCAATGATTTTTGAATTATAAACGATTGAATAGCAAGCAAGCACTTTCCTAAGTGAATTAAATTTCAGAGATGCAGATATAGAGGTAACTAAATAATTCTGTTAGTAAACTTATCCTAATTTTAAAATTAAAATTTATGTTTTAACAAAATTTTTACTTATAAAGATAATACGAAATCTGAAAAATTAAATAATTTTAACAAAAGACAATTTTTTCATTAAGAAAAATTTATTTTTTGAATTAATTAAAATATTTGATAATTAAATATTATCCAATGATTTTATGCCACGCCATTAAAAGTATCTATTAATATGAAAATGCTACGTAAGTATATGAAAATATTTATATTTTGATTTAAAATTCTGATCACAATTCGAATTTAAATTATTATTCTATTTTTATATCTTACACATATAAATGCGTCAAAAAATATCAAACTATTTTGGCATGTGTGTTATATGACTATCATTTCTGAGATGCATTTATTCCACATCTTACAGTTAAAAAAATTTTAAATCTTATTATTTTTATATATTTTATACATTTTTATGTATTTTTATATTTTTTTTTTTTTTATATTTTTATATATTTTATACATTTTTATGTATTTTGTATATTTTTTCTTTCTTTTTTTATTTTTATTTTTAAAACTTTTGAATATTGTTAATTTTAAATACAAATAAACAAGAAAAGAGAGAAAAATAGAGAGAGATGGGGGAGAAGAAGAGAGGGAATTAATAAATAAACTTATAATAAATAAACTACTCTCCAAGTAAACCACCGTCCTTGCTTTCTGATTGCTCCGTATATTCACTTGTGCAGATACAAATCGATCGAAGAAGCAACTAATCACTCGCGTTCTAATTAACGTGACACGATAATCACCTGTCACATCGTACGACACTTCCGATAATTACGGTATATACGTGGTATGCATATTTAAAAATAAATAAACAACAAGAAGGCCAATTCTTATGTTTGCTGTTATTGAACATGAATTTTAAACTTTATATTATTGCGTAAATGTCGTCTCGTAAATAAAAATAAAATAACGCTTCAAGATGTGCAAATATCGGCCATATATGAAAATAGCTATTTACTATCACGTATATTAATTAATGCGAACGTTGCTCTGATTTGACATTAAATAAAGTATTTTATTTGTGAACCGGATTCGCTCTCAATGAGATAAAACACATGAAAAATGGGAAATAATTACGGAAATTCTGCGAGACTATAGCACAAAGTAATAATATAGAATATACAGACAGAAAATAACGAGTATCTTTCACTTTGTAACCAAAATTAAGGTTATATGTCTTATGAAAACGTATATAAAGTACGATGCATAATTTGTGTGAATATATTACTTATTTTATATTTGATATTACCTTCAATCATTCTAATATCATCTGATACGTATTATCTTTTGTTTTTGATAAATAATCCTTAATTAGTGATTATTATACTTTAAAAATAAAATCATTAAAAATTAAATTGATTAATGATAATGAAAAGAATATAAAAAACGGATTATGTAGATATAAAACTCGTGCTTTTAAAAATAAGCTTGAATACAATGATAATAATCGTTTGATTATGATTTGTTCATCAATTATGCGAATGTTGATGCATATATTCATATATTTGTATGATTGATTATTCATTTGACTTGTCGATAATTTTGACCGGTGTGCCATCAAATCGATTGCAATTCAACATATATGCGTTTCGATTTTCATACGAATATTAAATAATTAATAATGATAATTAATTAAAACTAAATATACCAGATCATTTTTGGATGCTGTGTAATTCATGCATTTTTTATGTACTTTGGATCGTGAAATACTCAATTATAATAAATCTAATTTCTGTTATTCTCACGCAATTATATCCGTATATATATCTATTGATTTAATATATTTTTGACAATGTATGATGTCGCGCACGGAGACGAGATCATCTCGCCGATGCGATGCGTCGAAAATATACATATATCTCGAATAGAAGGGTGAGTGAAGCTAGCCGAGTTAGCGAGGCGCGCGAAAGCGCGCGCATGCGCCGATCGGTCGCAGCGTCGCCCCACTCGACGCGACTTTCAGAAGTCCCCCACCACCCGGCTCAGTCGCGCGCCGACCATCGAGTGAGGAGGGTGTTTACGCTCGCGCGGTTGATCGCGGTCGTTCTGACTTTCCGATAATAAGCCGAATTCGATCCGTTTTTGGAGAGTGTGAACTCCGACGATCTCGCGATGTGAATAAAACGGTGAGACGGCGATGCAAAGTTTGCGCCTGGATATTTCGTGATCGAATTGCGAGCGCGTATCGCAATCGATATGTGTTAAGAGGTCGCGTATCGCGCATAATATCGAGAATCGAAACGGAACAGTTAGATTCTTATCGCGTGTGATCGTACAATTCTGTGATTCTAACGATTTCGGTGATATGGATAATGCGTACGTGCAGATTATGGCCCGCATTGTTGTGGCCGATCGAAGTGAGACGTCATTACGTCACGCGGTTTGAATTGGCGGGAATCCGTGGCAGCATCGGTGTGAAATTCGCGCGAGTGCAAGTTGACGAAAACGCGTGGCTGGACTATCTCGGCAATATGGTGTATCGCGGAACTAGCTTGTGCCTTCAAGCTTGATCGAAGTAGACCGGCCGGAATGATCGATCCGAGTTCGATGACTTCGCGGCGGGTGACCCGTTGACGTTGGATGGCTACGGCTGGTATCTTGATCTCGCGCGCGGAGTCGATGACCAAAGTGTGCGGGTGGTGCGGCATGTCGGTGCGCTAGCAACAGCATACGATTGTGCGGTGTCGTTTTAAAAGTTGACTGATTAGTGTGACGATGATTTTAATCAGTGCAACAGTGAGGAGGCAGCGAATAATGATGCTCTTGTTGGCGGTGTCATTCCTGTTTCTTCATCGGGTAGCGGCCACCGACCGTTTGGGTGAGTCATGTTTTTTTATATCTTTAAAATTCAGGAATTCTGTGAATGAAACAACATTGTTGTAGTTTCTATAAAATTTAATTTTGACGCTAGCAGGCACGCCAGCGTGTTTGACTCGTAACAAATACAAACTGTACGAATTTGTAGTTTTAACTTTGGGACGTTCCTTTTTTTCTAATAATGTTTTTATATTCTCTTTTATTGTTGTCGAAAAAAATTAAATATATTAAAAAAAGAGTTTACCGAGGAAAAAATTTGAATTCTAAAATGCTTTCTATGCGATAATAATTCTTCACATGTTTATCTGCGAATATCATATGTATGTAAATCATAATCACGTAAAATATTTATTTTATTTGTATTTATATTATATGTATATCATATTATATTAAGCGAAATTAAGTTCTACATAATCAACTTTTATTTATCTAGAAGTTATTAAATATAGTATGCTATAATTTTTTATATTAAAAACGAGAGGAAACTCTAAAAGAGATTTCGTAAATTTATTCAAAAGTAATTCTAAATCCAAAAACAAATTTTCCGAGTGCAATTCGCTTGATAAAAAAATCATATTACACATCCTGAAATAAAATTTGTTTACTCGTATTTTAATTTTTATATTTTAATATTAAAATATAAAAACTATATAAGCTATTTTGTTTTAAAAACTACTTTAAAGAGAAAATTGATTATCTACTTATGTTAGCTTTTTGCTTCTTAATTCGGATAAAGATAACAAAGAAAATAAAATAAAATAGAAGTGCGGGAATGTAGAATAAAAATTTTTGTTCAGCTTTAATGTGAAAATTTTAGATTAACCGAATTAAATCGTGTCACTAATTACTTTGGCTGGAGGTAACGTCATATGCGTATAATTAAGATATTAGAGAGTAAATTGAGGGAATTGCCGTACGGGAGATGTTGCATATCGCTTGCGTTTAGCCTCCTCTTTCCCGTTGCCTAAGGCGCTATGCACGTAGTCCTGCAATAATTAGTATAATCAGTCTTAATGATGTTAAAATCGATATCTCGTCTCGTGGCATCGGGGCGGAGTTGAGCGATTACGCTCTTTCGATTGAACAAATTCGCATCATAAATCATGAATTATTTTGACACGTGAATTAGTTGCGACTCAACCGCTCGTATAATTAATTCTAGCATGTAAAATCGTTTACATATAGATAACAGTTGTCGAGCGCGTTTTGTCTGCGCACACGTTCGCAATTAAACGAATATATCGTGGGATTTGTAAGAACCATCCAGTTGTATCCGGCCACTACTATGACAATTTACGACTGTACGTATATCGCGATTGCCGATTTGTTGGGGATTAGCGATTAATTCGTAATAATTAAAACTGAGAGAGATAGATAAATTTAACGCGGCGGTATTCGAAAAATTTTTAATTTTTTTTAAAATTCTTGTATATAAAGCGACATGATTATTAAACGGAAACTTATAAACTTATGAATCTGGTCGAATTTTCCGTTGGAATGTTGGAGCATTGAGTGGTAAACCGCTGTGGAATTTCAGTATACAAAGTCGAAGTATTAGGGTTATAGGTTAAAGTTATTAGCAGGAATTCCAAAAGCGTTACATAGGAGCTGAGATATTGCTTCCAGTAACTTATAATTTTATATAAATTACACAATTAAATTAATTAATAATTTATTTTTGAAAAATTACACGAGACGATAGAAATATTTTGAAATACACGTTTCTATTCGTATTATTATTATCATTATCTGCTGCTCGGATAGTATAGGGATTAGTGTACAGATTAATGCTTTGCGATTTATTAAGATTTTTCGATTCTTCGCTAATGCACATTTGGCTCATATTTCGATTGTAACGCGGAGTACCGTTGAAACCAGAAGTATTCTCCGTTACGTCTGAAATACTAGATGATGTCAATTGATCAGCGGGCGCGATCGTAAAGTTGGTCGGAGGTGCACCGTCATGTAGGTGCTAACGTGTGCGAAAAGCAAGGGAGAAAGGAAAAAGAACAAGGCGAATAAAGACGGGAAAAGAATGGACAGTGCATTTACGCGAGACGACGAATAGCCGCGGGAAGAAAGCGCGTAATTACGCTCGTAAATCTATCGGATGTTTTCCAAGAAAAGAAAAAGAGTCCTCGCCGATGGCACTTTATCGATAGTCCGCGCGTTTGATCTCGCTCGTAAATTCTTATTATAATTGGAGCGATTGTAGCAACGGTCGGAAATCGCGATTGGCGACGATCGTCGTTGCGGCTGCCTCAATAGTTTGAAAAGTCTTCGCGTTATCTCTATAAATCGTTCAGAAACGACGGACGCCCGCGGGCTTTACGTATGGTTGAAGTTTTACAAATTCGCATGAGGACGAAAAAAAGAAAAGCTAGGAGGAGCCAACGAAGAAAGAGCTTTCGCTAGGTAATGCGAGAACATTCAGCTTAAAGGGCTCGACGTAACGATCTGTAAGAAAGAGTTATCTGAGACTGTAGAGATAGATATTCTGAAATCTATATATAGTTTTGAATCGTGTCTTTTAGAGATTATTTGAATTAGGTATATATGTACGTAATGGGATTTGCGTGCCGGATTAAACATAAACTTGTAGAAAATGTATGTCGCGATATAACTGACGAGAAAGATTCCTGCTCTCGGACAATGCTTTATATATATATAACGTAATCTTGATTATCTTGCTTGAATATCTTTGTCGTTTTCTACTATAAATTGCATAAAATCTGTACGAAATGAGGTCACGAATTGCAGGCGGGAATGCGCACCTATCTGCATTTCGCCGGGAACAATTCTTCCGTAGCCATAATTCAGCGCTGCCAACGAAAAAAACGGACAAGTCGTAATTTTCACTCTTTCGTGAAATGGATTCGAATATTCGAAAATTAATGCAAGATATTTTATATTTCGCAACAGTCGCAACGATGAAATACGAGATCGGTCCGGCTGTGCGCTTCGCGTCGAAAGCTGTGCGCGAATGAGAAATCTTGAAATTTCCTTTTCATCTCATCTCGATATCTCTACGATGGATTACTCTGTACCTATATATCATTGGAGAAAGGGGAGAGAGGTACAAATATTACATAAATTACAGATAACTTGGTACACAGTTACTTATATAAATTTAATATTAAATATTCGTTGTGTATAATTAATTTCCTTATTATTTAAACTAAGTGGTAGCAGATTGCCCTGGAAATCACTTAGCGTTTATATTAATATACATGAAGCTACAGATGCTTGTATGAAGTAAAATAATAGGTTGCATGCATAATTAGCTACTTTATCATGCAGTTTTGAAAGTCGAATATGATTAAATCTATCCTATTTTGAGCTTTTTTTTGTTATTGACATTTCGATTGTCTTTCATCATTTAGCTTATATTGTGCACGTATTTTTTATATTTTTAATAATAAAATAAAATGTAAAATAAATTCATGATGTTTATACAATATTATAATTATTTAAGAAATTATTCGGAATCGTGTATCAGTCAAAAAATTCAAGATGATTCCTTGTAAAATTTTTTTGAGACATTTTATATAATATTAATTCAATTTATTATTTTATATAGTTAAACAATATTATTTATCGTATCATAGATCGTGTTTTTGATTCTTTTGAATGATGTACATACATGTTTGTCAATACGTGCGTAGGTATTGCAGGTGAATTCATGATCGACGTGATAAACGCGCTTTTGTCGTGTTACTTTCCTATTGACACCTCCTCTTTCTCACCCTCCCACATTCAATCTCGCACATTCTTTTCGGGATACAAGTTTCGACGGGAGAGCACTTCGTTTTCAAGCTTTCCCATTTCCGTTTCCACCCTCGTCGCCTTACGGTCGCCGCAACAGAACGCCTATTTCTCGACTTCCCGATTCAGCAAGTCGCATAGGAATAGGTAGCACTGCTCTGCTACGGTTTATAGTAGCGGTCTACACTTCGCGGAAGTGCATTTTACCTATTGTCGGGGCCGGTTCGTCTTTCTTTCCGAATTGAAAGCGTGCCGAAACTACGTATCTGACCCCGTGTAAATATCCGGTTTTGCATACACGTTTCTACACCGTTATTTGTAATGTCAATACTGCTTTCCGTAATACATGTTCGATAGTTGCGATTTCGAGCGGTGCATTCTATCTGTGCTTTTATTTAACAAGTTCTTCGTGTATCACATATAATAGCGAATATTATTTTTGAAACTGATCTCGCGAATTATCGACACGTCACAGCTGAAATTAATCGATTCGCTTTTTCAATTTTTAACGGTGGATTTAATTTACATATTTTATCTATTTTCATTTTGAATATAAAATTTTTATCACTTTGCCATGCACGATCGATCAAAATTAAATTTCTCGCGCGCGATTTGTTATTTGATTTTATCCGAACTAATTCCGATTTTCTATCAATATTCTTGAAAACAAATAGAAAGATTGGAATCAAAAGTTATAGTTTCTCTGCGATTCTGGCGAGCGAGATAAGGCGCGCAGCCGCATGTTTTAAACATTAGAATGCAAGAGGTCAAAGTTCACTCGGGATGCAACGGATGTGTTACAACTAAGTCGCGGTAACTATTGTAGATTCGCGATTTTGCGATAATCAAAATCCGTCTTGTTAGATAAAAAATCGACATGACGTAGAATAGAATTTCGTTTTGCTTACATTTTTATAAATTTTATCGTTCTTTCTGAAAGTGTCGCGCGAGCTTTTCTACCTACGCACGCATACATACATGTGTGAAGTGCAGTTTGTTGCTATAGATTGGCACATCATCGCTCGTACATCGCAAATTAGCGTAATTTCAGTTGATCGGAATTTATGGCCAACTGACCGTATCTGTTTATCTATTTAGCGACACACGCGGCAACATCTACGATCGATAGATAGATAGATAGATAGATAGATATAATTCGCGATGCATGTAATTAACGAGAAATTATTCGGGTCGTAGCAATCGCACGGATCATTTCTCGTCGCGTTTATATCCCTT